TGGCATCCTGGAAGTCCACAGGCACTTACGTTGACGAGGTTCCCCCTCCTGGGGCGAACATCGTCAGTGGCATGTGGATTTTCAGGGTGAAGCGGCCGCCAGGTTCTCCGCCTGTCTTCAAGGCGCGTTACGTTGCTCGAGGTTTCAGTCAGCGAGAGGGAGTAGACTTCTTTCAGACCTTCTCCCCCACCCCGAAGATGACCACTCTTCGGGTGCTGCTGCACGTTGCCGCTCAACGTGACTAAGAGCTTCACTCTCTTAACTTCAGCACAGCTTTCTTACAGGGCAGCCTGCATGAGGAGATCTGGCTGCGCCGCCCTCCTGGCTTCACTGGGTCGTTCCCTCCTGGTACCCAGTGGAGCCTCCGGCGGCCAGTCTACGGTCTCCGCCAGGCACCACGTGAGTGGCACGACACACTGAGGTCTACACTTGTGGCTCTTGGGTTTGCTCCGTCGACTGCTGACCCGTCACTGTTTCTGCGTACCGACACGTCACTGCCGCCGTTCTACATCCTCGTGTACGTCGATGACTTGGTCTTTGCCACTGCTGACACTGAGGCTCTCGCCTTGGTGAAGTCGGAGCTGCAAAGAGACACACGTGCACAGACCTGGGTGAGCTGCGCAGCTACCTTGGCTTGCAGATCACCCGGGACAGAGCACGCCGCACCATCACACTGACTCAGTCACACATGGTGCAGCAGGTCCTTCAGCGCTTCGGCTTCACCTGGTCCTCGCCACAGCACACTCTTCTGGCTACAGGCCACTCGCTCTCAGCTCCACCTTCGGACGTGTCCGTAGAGCCGAGTGGCCCGTATCCAGAGCTAGTGGGCTGCCTCATGTACCTGATGACCTGCACTCGACCTGACCTTGCGTACCCTCTTGGCCTTCTCGCTCGCTACGTTGCTCCTGGTAGGCACCGACCAGAGCACATGGCTGCTGCTAAGAGGGTACTGCGCTACTTGTGCAGTACATCGGGCATGGGGCTTGTGCTTGGAGGGCGGAGCCCAGTTGTCCTCACTGGGCACTCGGATGCTTCTTGGGTTGACGACCTGGCTACACAGCGGTCGTCACAGGGTTACACCTTCAGCCTTGGCTCTGGCTCTGTTTCTTGGCGGTCTACACGCTCGTCTTCTGTTCTCGGCTCCAGTTGTGAGGCTGAGATCTACGCCACAGCCAAGGCTGCACAGGAGCTACGCTGGCTCACCTACCTGCTGACCGACCTGGGAGAGCGGCCTCGTTCTCCTCCAGTGCTGTACGTAGACAACAAGGCCGCCATTGCCTTGTGTCAGGAGCACAGACTGGAGCACAGAACGAAGCACATCGCTCTGCGTTACTTCCTGGCTCGAGAGTTGCAGCAGCGAGGTCAGCTTCGTCTTGCTCACGTGGCCACTCGGGCCAACACTGCTGATATATTCACCAAGGCACTTCCGTCTGGTGATCATCAGCGTTTCTGCACTTTGTTAGGCCTTGTGCCCACTTTTCCTCACTTGCTGCAGACTTTGTTTGTACTGTGATCTATATATATATCTGCTTGCTTGCTCTGCTAGGTAGAGATTACAGTGCTGCTGTTGTTGCATATATACCTCTGCATGTAAACTGGCCTTGTGGCCCTTTGCTTGTGCTCAGTGTGTGTGGTGACGTTGTGATCCACCCTGAGCTTGCTTTGCTTCTCTTGACTGGTCTTGTGACCCCTTGCTCTCCCCCACTTTGCCTATGGGGGTGTGTCAAACTATAATCATGCTTGTGCTGTGTAGGCTGTAGTGGGGTAGCCCATAAGGGGTACAACCCAAATTAGGGTTAGTCTATGTACCCACATCCCTGTTTCAATGCATCATTCCTGCTGCTAGATTCTAACACAACACTACTGTCTGCTCTTGCAGCCGTCGCGCAGAATTCTGCTTCCTCTAAGCCCCAGCAGCCCCACGCCCCTATCCTCGCAGCAAGCGTGTCTCTCTGCTCCGTGCTCACTGCTCAACCCCACTGCATCTGACTCTCTCTCTTCCTCTTCAGCTTCGTCACCCGGCTCGTGATTTTGTTCAGAGAGGTGTTGCTGATGATATGTAGGCTTGTAATTTCCACTTTGTAGGGATTTCCGTTTAAAACAGATGTTAGGTCTGAACTCATATTTACAAAGGTATTTTTTAGACTGAAACTCATGTGGAAGAGTGGAAGGCACTCAACCCTCACTAGCAGCAATACGTGAAGGAGGGCCAATAATCCTAACCAGGGCCCTGATGCAGACTTCTACCAAGTGCCATAGTCGGACGTGCTTGTGTGTGAACGATCTGCATCATCTGGTCCCGGATCAGCTCGATCTCACACCCCTCACTAGAATCCTAACTAGAGCCCTGATGCAGACTTCTACCAAGTGCCATAGTCGGACGTGCTTGTGTGTGAACGATCTGCATCATCTGGTCCCGGATCAGCTCGATCTCACACCTCACTAGAATCCTAACCAGAGCCCTGATGCAGACTTTTACCAAGTGCCATAGTCGGTCGTGCTTGTGTGTGAACGGTCTGCAGCATCTGGTCCCGGATCAGCTCGATCTCACACCCCTCACTAGAATCCTAACCAGGGCCCTGATGCAGACTGCTGCCAAGTGCCACAGTCGGACGTGCTTGTGTGTGAACGGTCTGCATCATCTGGTCCCGGATCAGCTCGATCTCACACTCCTCACTAGAATCCTAACCAGGGCCCTGAAGCAGACTTCTGCCAAGTGCCATAGTCGGTCGTGCTTGTGTGTGAACGGTCTGCATCATCTGGTCCCGGATCAGCTCGATTTCACACCCCTCACTAGAATCCTAACCAGAGCCCTGATGCAGACTGCTGCCAAGTGCCACAGTCGGACGTGCTTGTGTGTGAACGGTCTGCATCATCTGGTCCCGGATCAGCTCGATTTCACACCCCTCACTAGAATCCTAACCAGAGCCCTGATGCAGACTGCTGCCAAGTGCCATAGTCGGACGTGCTTGTGTGTGAACGGTCTGCATCATCTGGTCCCGGATCAGCTCGATCTCACACCCCTCACTAGAATCCTAACCAGGGCCCTGATGCAGACTGCTGCCAAGTGCCACAGTCGGACGTGCTTGTGTGTGAACGGTCTGCATCATCTGGTCCCGGATCAGCTCGATCTCACACCCCTCACTAGAATCCTAACCAGGGCCCTGATGCAGACTTCTGCCAAGTGCCATAGTCGGACGTGCTTGTGTGTGAACGGTCTGCATCATCTGGTCCCGGATCAGCTCGATCTCACACCCCTCACTAGAAACCTAACCAGGGCCCTGATGCAGACTTCTGCCAAGTGCCATAGTCGGACGTGCTTGTTTGTGAACGGTCTGCATCATCTGGTCCCGGATCAGCTCGATTTCACACCCCTCACTAGAATCCTAACCAGGGCCCTGATGCAGACTGCTGCCAAGTGCCACAGTCGGACGTGCTTGTGTGTGAACGGTCTGCATCATCTGGTCCCGGATCAGCTCGATCTCACACCCCTCACTAGAATCCTAACCAGGGCCCTGATGCAGACTTCTGCCAAGTGCCATAGTCGGTCGTGCTTGTGTGTGAACGGTCTGCATCATCTGGTCCCGGATCAGCTCGATCTCACACCCCTTACTAGAATCCTAACCAGGGCCCTGATGCAGACTGCTGCCAAGTGCCACAGTCGGACGTGCTTGTGTGTGAACGGTCTGCATCATCTGGTCCCGGATCAGCTCGATCTCACACCCCTCACTAGAATCCTAACCAGGGCCCTGATGCAGACTGCTGCCAAGTGCCACAGTCGGACGTGCTTGTGTGTGAACGGTCTGCATCATCTGGTCCCGGATCAGCTCGATCTCACACCCCTCACTAGAATCCTAACCAGGGCCCTGATGCAGACTTCTACCAAGTGCCACAGTCGGTCGTGCTTGTGTGTGAACGGTCTGCATCATCTGGTCCCGGATCAGCTCGATCTCACACCCCTCACTAGAATCCTAACCAGGGCCCTGATGCAGACTTCTACCAAGTGCCACAGTCGGTCGTGCTTGTGTGTGAACGGTCTGCATCATCTGGTCCCGGATCAGCTCGATCTCACACCCCTCACTAGAATCCTACCCAGGGCCCTGATGCAGACTGCTACCAAGTGCCATAGTCGGACGTGCTTGTGTGTGAACGATCTGCATCATCTGGTCTTGTACACTTTTTGTTTGAGCAATATTGGTCAACTTATAAAAAAAGCCAGAGTTTAGCACAACTTGCTTCCCTCCAGCTTGGAGCTCGGAGCACAATCCCCGCTTCGGGCTTCTCAAGCTGGAGCTGGCTGGAGGTGCGAGGTCTAGAAGGCTGCAGCTCATTCGCATTCACTCAGTGACTCGCAGACGGCTGCTCTTGCCCCGCCTGCATGGACGGGTGTGTGGTGAGCCATCTGGTTGGTGGAGCACCGACTGCTGCCATGGACATGCATGGGCAGAGGGGACACGGAGAGGGGTGGAGATGGGTGAAGGGAGAGAGAACTGCAACGAATTCTGCGTTGGTAGAACAAAGGAGAAGAACAAAACAGGTGATTCTCAAGAGAAGGAATCAGAAGTGACACCGTGATGGACGTGGCTGGACAGCAAGAAGACAAGGCAGAGGAGAGGAGGAGAAGGGATAGGGCATAACAGATGGGGGTTGGTGGGGAGGCAGGTGCAAGTTGAGGGGGTTAGGGTTGGGATGGGGATGGGGAGGAAAATCACAGGGGGGAGATGATTATGACCAAGAGGGAGGAGGAGGAGGAAGTGGAAGGGGAGGAAGGGGGAGGGGAGGAGGAGGAGGGGGGGGAGAGGAGGAGGAGGAGGAGGAGGAGGAGGAGGAGGTGAAGGAGGAGGAGGAGGAGGAGGAGGAGGAGGAGGAGGAGGAGGAGGAGGAGGAGAAAGAAGAGAGAGAGGAGGAGGATGCAAGGGAGGATGAGCAAGAGAAGGGAATGTGAGAGATAAGTTGGTACCTTTGATTGCTTTTGTGAACACATCTTTCACACTCACATGCTAGACACACGGAGGGGTTTGGGGGGGTACTGGTCGGTCCTCCTCCTCCTCCTCCTCCTCCTCCTCCTCCTCCTCCTCCTCCTCCTCCTCCTCCTCCTCCTCCTCCTCCTCCTCCTCCTCCTCCTCCTGCTGCTGCTGCTGCTGCTGCCGCTCCCGCTCTTGCTGCCGCTGGCGAAGGATGGCGAGGCATTTGGCTACATCCATGAAGGCACTGTTGTTGAAGTAGCCGTCAAACACCAGCGGCCGAAAGTTGTGCAAACGAATGGTGCCTATATCCTGCCGCAGCACGTCCCAAAATGCATCTGCCAGCTCCCTGGTGAGCAAGTCTTTGTGAACCAGGTTCAGGTCTGACGCGGTGAGGTACTGGTACAGGTGCCAGTTGGCGCTGGGGTTTCGCACCAGAAACAGCAGCTCCCGCGACCTTGCTGCCTCTTCCTTTGAATCGGATAGCATGAGCGTAACCTGGAAATCGCTGCAATCCCGATGCAGAAAAGCTCGGATGTACTTCCCGTTATCGCCCACCAATGGGTATTGGCGGTCCTTGAGTTCTCGAGCGGGCGGCTTGAGCAGGATGTGGTGAACGCCCGTCCAGTGATGCAGCTCAAAGGGCATGGTACCTGAAGCAGCGTGCAGAGAAGGAAGGGGGGGTGGGGGAGGGGAGGCGAGATGGGGAGAGGGGAGGGAGTGAGGACGACCAAGGAAGCTCAGAGGACGAGGCAGCGGGGGACTCTGATGCACAGTGCAGGGAGAGAGCAACAAGGAAGGATTTCGAAGGAAGAGGGGGATAGAGGATTTAAGGGGGGGAGGGAGGTGGTTTGGGGGGGCGGAAGAGGGGGGAAAGGAGGATGGGGGGGAAGAGGGGAAGATGGGGATGGGGGTGAGGAAAGGACAGCCACGGAGGAAGAAGAAGGCGAAGGGAGAGCACACGGGTGTAAGGAGAGTGAGGATGCAGCGGTGAAAGAAACAGCAGAAACAGCAAGAGCTGGGACAGCAAGACCAGAGACATTGGTGGGGACATGGCAGCAAAGGAGGTTCTGGGGAGAAGAGGCAGCAGTGCAGTGATAAGAGGCAGGGGAGGAAAGCAGAGGAGAGGAGCAGAGGGAGAGGAGGAGCAGAGGAGGAGGAGAACAAACTTTTTGCATCGGTGTGGGGTGGTTTCCTTCTAGCTTTCCACCGCTCATCCGCTGAAGTGGGTGAAATGGGAGAAGTATGAGGGAGGAAATGAGGGTGTAGGGCGCAGCGGAGTGATGGTAGGATCAACAGTGGAGGGGAAAAAGGGGAGCACGGAGAATGAGGGGAAGGCATAGAAGAGAATGAGAAGATGACGCAAAGAGGCAGGGAGGCGGTTTTTTTAGTCGAATCCAGAGTCACAGCGAGGCTCGTACCTTGTTCCACCTGCTCGTACCTTGTTCCACCTGCTCGTACCTTGTTCCACCTGCTCGTACCTTCTTCCACCTGGTTGTAGATCTTTTCACCAGTTCCCGGGTGGACTGGTGGATTCTGTTGGACATTAGGGGAAGGCTGCAAGGAGAACGAGGTTGAGGGCAAGGGTAGGCAAGTGGGACAGAGAAAGTGGGATAGAGCAAATGGGATAGAGCAAGTGGGATAGAGCAAATGTGATAGAGCAAATGGGACAGAGCAAATGGGGGAGAACAAGTGGGGCTGAGCAAGTGGGGGAGAGCACGGTAGGTGAATTTCGACAGTACAGCATCTGCTCCCCTTCTTCCTGCGCCCCTTACTTTCCCCTTTCCTGCCTTCTATCCTTGCTAATTCCCTCATCCTCTCTTATTCCCCACACTGTTTCTCCTCCCCTTCCTCCCGCCTGCTCCCTCTTGCTCATCCCTCACGTCGCGCAGTTGCCATCCCTAAAAACAAAATTGAGGTTGTGGGTGGAATTTCGACTAATGAGGCGCCTCAAAACGCGAGAGGCTGACCTGGTTCTTCCTGAAGTTCGTTCTATACGTGTCTTGATCCTCGCGCCACGTCTCTCCGGGTACCTGCGCCTGGGTTTTTCGAATACGTTCCTGATTGGCCGGAAGAGGGTGGGAAGAGGAGGAGATGGGGTGAAGTGGGGTGGCATGTTAGTGCATGTGGGATGGGTGAGCAGGCGGCACAAGAAACAACCAGGCAACAAGAAGCAAGCAAGCAATAAGCAACAAGCAGTGCAACGAGCAACAAGCAACAAGAATTGAGCAACTAGCAAAGTATGCGACTAACACATGTCAAAGAGTGGGCCAAAATGGAGCGCACCAACGCTGCCACCACAGTAGGCAGGGGAGGGGTGGCAGTGGCAGGACAGCATGCAGCAGCACAACAGTGAAAACCACGTGCTGAGCTGCACGCACACTGGAAGCATCACAGCAAGACCATGGGCAAGAGCGTGCGAGCACACACCAGTAGGCTTTGGCGGAGCCCATCCAAGGAGCGACCCGCATGGAGCAATAACGTATCCTCCTCCGCTGGAGAAGCAGCCTGCTGGGCATGACGCTGTGGTGGTTGGGACATGTGCAAGGGTCATGGGATTGGGACATATGCAAGGGTCATGGGATTGGGACACGTGCAAGGGACATGGGATTGGGACACGTGCAAGGGACATGGGATTGGGACACGTGCAAGGGACATGGGATTGGGACACGTGCAAGGGACATGGGATTGGGACACGTGCAAGGGACATGGGATTGGGACACGTGCAAGGGACATGGGATTGGGACACGTGCAAGGGACATGGGATTGGGACACGTGCAAGGGACATGGGATTGAGACACGTGCAAGGGACATGGGATTGGGACACGTGCAAGGGACATGGGATTGGGACACGTGCAAGGGACATGGGATTGGGACACGTGCAAGGGACATGGGATTGGGACACGTGCAAGGGACATGGGATTGGGACACGTGCAAGGGACATGAGATTGGGACACGTGCAAGGGACATGGGATTGGGACACGTGCAAGGGACATGGGATTGGGACACGTGCAAGGGACATGAGATTGGGACACGTGCAAGGGACATGGGATTGGGACACGTGCAGGTAACATATGCTAAACAAGGAGGAAGCAGTTTGTTGGGAAGCTGGAGTAGCAGTCGGCTGAAGACGCTATGCAGTGGGACATATGCAGTGGGAATGAGGGACATGGAGGGTGGTGAGAGGCAGAGGCGAAACAATAGCGAAGTGAGCAATAGAAATTGGTGCAGTTGGTTAAAAACTGCTGTGCAAATGGTGGGTTCACAGGCAATAGTGCAGCCGCGACAACTCACGGTGAGCTCGCCAACAATCTCTGATTCCGGTGGAAAAGGGCTGCAGATGGGATGTGGGGGAGATGGGAGAGGCAACAACAAAGAACACCCACCACTCAAGATGCGTTTTTGAGAGTTGCGCATGCAAGGTGCCTTAGGAGAAACGACTGGTATGGCAACAGGATGAGTAGAAACAGGATGTGAGGCAGTGAGAAACGACTACGTAGGCTGGAACATAAACTAGATACATGACTGGTGTGGCTTAGGTGCAACAACGACCCGGAAGCAGGTTGTTCTGCAAACTATGAGGTTTAGATGATTTCAGGAGGATACAAATTTGCATGCCACCACCAAGTACCCATCTCTTCTCTCTCAACTCCCTCCTCTCTCTTTCCCCCTCTCTGTCCACACACACCACTTTCCGTTCTCATCCATTCCCTTCCAAGCCTTTTAATCCTTAACTTCCCCTTCTGGCAGCTTGCCAACTCGACTCGACTTCTCACACCACCTCTTCACTCACCTCAACTCCATCTCTCTGCCCTCTCCCCCCACTAAGCCACGCCCACCACCCTCGCCCCCCACTGAGCCACGCCCACCACCGCCGGCTGCCCCAACTCCACCTTGTTCCCCCACTCCCCCAACTCCGCTTACTCCCCCCACTCCCCCAACTCCGCTTACTCCCCCCACTCCCCCAACTCCGCTTACTCCCCCCACTCCCCCAACTCCGCTTGCTCCCCTAACTCCCCCAACTCCGCTTACTCCCCCCACTCCCCCAACTCCGCTTACCCCCCCCACTCCCCCTACTCCGCTTACTCCCCCCACTCCCCCTACTCCACTTACTCCCCCCACTCCCCCAACTCTGCTGACTCCCCCCACTCCCCCAACCCCAGCTGCAGCTACTCCGCTCAACTCCTTCCCTGCTCCACGTGACCTCCTTGGTCTCTTGCCAGCAGCACTGTCACGCAGCAGAAACCAAAGCAGAACAAGGAGCAGCATACTCAATGCCAAAACCAAATGACATTGCTAAACTCAATATGCTTCAACTCACAAACAAATAGTGATGATACCACAACGGAGAAAACTATCTCGCATCAACATGCTGCAACAAATAGTGATGATAGTGATGTCAACATGCCTCACTCACCTGGAGTCTAGTCTACATCTCTTGAGTCCAGCATCTCTTGAGTCCAGCATCTCTTGAGTCCAGCATCTCTTGAGTCCAGCATCTCTTGAGTCCAGCATCTCTTGAGTCCAGCATCTCTTGAGTCCAGCATCTCTTGAATCCAGCATCTCTTGAATCCAGCATCTCTTGAATCCAGCATCTCTTGAGTCCAGCATGAAACAACTGATAAGTGTCAACATGATTCACTCACCTGGAGTCCAGTCCACATCTCTTGAGTCCAGCATGAAACAACTGCTGCCCCCCTTCTTCCCCTGCCTTTTCTATCCCGCCCACACCCATTTCTCTCCCATTTTCTCCTCCCTGTTGTGGTGGTGAAGCTGACACTCCTGCTACCGGTGGAATAACCGTTGCTGCTGCTGGTGTTGTTGTTGCTGCTGGTGGTGCTGCTGGTGGTGCTGCTGTTGCTGCTGGTGGTGCTGCTGGTGCTGTTGTTGTTGCAGCTACTGCAGCCGCTGCTGCTGGTGGTGGTGGTGGTGGTGGTGCTGCTGCTGCTGCTGCTGCTGCTGTTGCTGGTGGTGACGGTGCTTGTGCCTGTGCTGCGGATGCTACTGATGATGCTGCTGCTGCTGCTGCTGCTGCTGCTGCTGCTGCTGCTGCTGTTGCTGCAGCTGTTGCTTCTGCTGCTTCTGCTGCTGCTACTATTACTGCTGCTCCTTTGGCTGCTGCTTCTGTCGCTTTTGCTGCTGCCCCTGGTGGTGCTGCTGCTGCTCTTGCTGCTGCTGATGCTGCTGCTACTCTTGCTGCTGCTACTGCTTCTGCTGCCCCTGCTAAAAAGGCTTCCATCATATCTGCGTCCTCTGCTGTTCCAGAGTAAGTTGGGAACGGCGCTGCCGCTTCCGGATGCACTGATGCGGCTGCTGATTCTGATGCTGCTGCTGTTGCTGCTGGTGTCGGTGGTTGTGCCTGTGCTTCTGCTACTGCCACTGCTGCTAGCGCTGCTGCTGCTGCTGCTGCTGGTTCTGTTTCTGGGGCATCTGCTGGTGTTGAAGCTGTTAATGGTACTGTTCCAACTGCTGCTGCTGCTGCTGCTGTTGCTGGGGCATCTGCTGGTGTTGCTGGGGCATCTGCTGCTGTTGCTGGGGCATCTGCTGCTGTTGCTGGGGCATCTGCTGGTGTTGCTGGGGCATCTGCTGGTGTTGCTGGGGCATCTGCTGGTGTTTGAGCTGGTACTGTTCCTTCTGCTGCTGGCGCTGGCGCTGCTGCTGCTGCTCCTGTTGCTGGCGCTGCTGGCGCGCTGGTCACTACAGTCGCGTGGCAGTCGGAAGTGGTGACAGAGCCGTCATCAGTCGCTGCTGGCACTGCTCCTCCGCCTGGTAGCTGATACGGCACGGATCGTTGAGGCGGCGTCAGCGTCACCTCCGTTGCCAGAACAAGCCGGGTAGCAGTGTCTCCTGCTAGAAATGCATTTCTCGGACGGCGCGGGCTCCGGGGACGGGGCTGAGATGCTTCTGGCATCTGCTGCCGCCGCCGCGGCCGCCGCGGCGGCTGCCACTCTCTATCGACTGCCATAGTACTGCCGGCGCGTTGGCGAGACGGCGGGTAACGGGGCCTGCTGCGTACTGACGCAGACGCAAGAAAACAATCCGCTGTTTTGAAGCGAGGGAAGAAACGACATGCTCCTAGTTCTCGCTAACCTAAAAACGATTCATGAAACGGGAAGATAGCTATACTGAACTTTTCTGAGATGCAGGAAAACCATGCAAGTGAGGAGGAGCGACACGTACGAAGATCGAAGAAGGGAAGAAAAGGGGAACAGGTGCATGCAGCAGGGCACCACTGACGCAAGAAGATGGACGACAGAGATGATCGCCCTTCTCGACCTGAAGACCGAAGAGCCAGATGGGAGCAACAAGGCGTTGTGAGCGGGGCGTCAGTGAGAGGACAGGAAGGGTGTGCAAAAGAGGAGCAGAGAGGTGCCTATTCCATCAGAAAGTTGTCGGGTTGGAAAACGGCAGTATAGGGGCGTTATTACACTGAGAACGGGATTCCTAAGGGTGTGCAAAAGGGTGTGCAAAAGAGCCGCAGCGATCGCGATTCCGCGAGAGCTCCGCTTGCGAATGATCAAGGGCATGTGGCTGTGGCAGTTACAACAACGCAAGGGATAGAGCTCGGAATGAGAATGGGAGTGAGAGCGCAACAGAAACGAGTTAGAGAGGCACTGTAGCACGGAAGAGAGGGTAGAAGCAGCAATGAAAGGCAACGACGGAGTGAGAGAATCAGAGGCGTGCGAGACGTGCAGCACGGGAGAGAGCGCAAGTGACGCACGGGAGAGAGCGCAAGTGAGGCATGGGAGAGAGTGCAAGTGAGGCACGGGAGAGAGTGCAAGTGAGGCATGGGAGAGAGTGCAAGTGAGGCACGGGAGAGAGCGCGATGCAGCAAAGGTAGGAGCGGTGCGGCAGCAAGGGAGAGACCTGAAATCTCACAATGGCGAGCGAGGTATGGTGTGATGGAAGGTTTGCAATTCCGCATGGGGGTACGGAGAGAGGATCAGGCGACGGCAGAGAGGATCAGGCGACGACAGAGAGGATCAGGCGACGGCAGAGAGGATCAGGCGACGGCAAAGAGGATCAGGCGACTGTGAAGCAAGAAGCGAGAGAGCAGGAGCTCACCAAAAGACGGCCCGACGTCGACTGACAGTGCGTGGATCCGCGGTGCGCAGGGGAGCAATACGTGAGGATGATCGTTGGCGCTTCCGGAGCGATTAGGCGAATCGACGGTGAGGGGATCTCTGGGCTGCAACGGAGAGAGAGCAACAGTAGCATGGGAGAGATGGAACAGCAGCGCCGGTGAGTGCGGGGAGGCAAAATGGTAGACAGCGTAACAGAGGCAGCGCGTGGAAAAGCGTCAACGCGGGGAGAAAGGAGAGAGCGCAAACGGAGCAAGGGAGAGAGCGCAAACGGAGCAAGGGAGAGAGCGCAATGGGAGCATTGGGTGAGAGTGGAACGATTCACACGGAGTTAGCGGAATGGGATTCAAGGAAGGGAGCGGTATAAGATGCTTGGGACAGAGCCATTGACGAGAGAGCGGAATGGGAGACAAGGAAGATAGCCTAATGGGAATTGGATGAGAGGGGAATGGGAGCAAAGGCGATGGCGGAACGAGTGAGGAAGATAGCGGAAGTTAGCACAGCTTTATGGCAGCTAGAAATAGAGGCCGCAATTCCGTGGGGAGAGGGTGGCGTTACGGCGGCACTGGGGAGTGCGGAATGGTAGCACGTGTGCAAAACGAAGGGCAGCAAGGTGGTGTGCGCAAGGGTCGCGAGGCAGTGAACCCCGGAGCGGGTTGTGGAGGGACGGTGCGTGTCTGGCAAGAGCGCTACCGCGTTGCGCAGGGGAGTACGTGGGAGAGAGCGTTATCGAGTCCACCACATGATGCGGAGCGACTAAGAGGCTATCGCAAGAGCGATTCTGCAGCGCGAAGGGAAGCAATAAGCGAGAGAATTGCATGCGCTCACCGAAGCGCGATGGCTAAGGGATCGCTGGAGCGACTCCGCGGCGAGCAGGCGAGCAATACGATGTAGAATGCAGTAGCGATTCCGCAGCCACATGCAGAGCGACGGTGCGTATTGAAAGCGAAGACACGACCAGTGATGTTTACGTAGAGATTCTGAACCGAATTTAGATTCGGAGAATGCGAGGTTCAGATAGAAAAAGGTATCGTGCAAAAGGGCTGTGTTGAATCCCGCGAGCGAACAAGTTACCAAGGGTAACGTACAAGGCGCTGACGAAGCGCGTGAATAATTGGCTACCACCAATTCACGAATCCGTTACCAATAATTCTTGACGTGTGATTGCTTCACTAACAGCCCACAAGAACACTAAGGCACTACACAAAAAACAGCAACTTACGTTATATACTCTAGAATCCCTAATTCCAGCTTGGATTTGAAACAATTGATTATAGGCCTCTCTCGAAAATTTAGTTTTCGCGATCAATTTAAATAGTTCCGTGTATGGTAATGTAACACTAGAAATAACGACGTGTACAACATGTAAATATACATGGCATTGTTACATAATAAATATATACATCTCACAATAATATAACATGTGCGTCGTGACATCCGATGAAGCACAAAGGACCAGATGCCGTGGCGAAAAAACCTGCGCACGCGTGAAGAGTGCACTTGATGTGTTCACAGTGTTGGCGTAAACCACAAAATTTTGCCGTTCTCCCCATGGAATCTCGCAATCAGGCGTCGTCAAGGATCCCCGCAGAAAAGTTCCAATATTGCCCATGCCAGTACCCGCCCGCTATCTCTTGAAACACAAGTTTCACCAAATCGCCAAACCAGACATTTCTAACTACACCCGCTAGTTTATTCCCGCTTCCTAGTTCACATCCTTTCCCACTTATTAAACGCCCAATTACAGAGCCATCATTGACCCTAAAATAAGGCTAGTTTATTGTAGTCCAGTTTTGGGTGGATTGCAATATTTCTGATGTAGGAGCCAGGCGTTTCTTAGGGCGTGCCAAATTGAAATGACCATAGTGAATGGTCGACAATTTGGGCGTTTCTGGCAATTGCGAAGAATTTATGATACCACGTACAGATTAGACACCCCGACTTGACCGAATATCGATGATATTTCCTGCTAAAGATTGCACCCACTGCACTTTGGGACCTACCTACCTACTTACTACCTTGTAAATTTCCCCCGAACGTGCTCGCCCAACCTCGCTGTTTTGCTAAACATTTTTTTTTTTTTTTTTTTTTTTTGTAGAGCCCCCGTAAATTCTTCACCCCATTCGAATGCTGTATGTAGAATCAAACAATTCGCTTTCAATTATGGAGGTGGTTTTCAGTGGGTACCCCAAGTGCTGACGAAATGTAGAGCGATGTTCGCTGACACGTTACATCCTTCGCAATCGCCCGAAACACCCGAATGGTCGAAAAATCGCTTTGGTCATTACTATTTTACACGCCCTTAGGGGATAGATTGACAAGGCGTTGTTTAACTATATTCCGGAAAGCGCCGTCCTATTAAAGGCGCCGACGCTTACATCTGGAGCATGGTGCTTATGGACAAAACTCAATTTTAAGCCCTGGAAAAACCCTGATGTATTATGAGCGGATGCATAATTCTAATATGAAATCCCGGCTCAAACAGTCACGAGTTCCACGAGTCCACATTGATTTTCGATTTGTTTGTATCTCAAGGTCCTTCTCTATCCTCCTCTCTTGAATTCCTCTCTCTCTTCCCCCCTTTCCCACCCCCTTCTTTCTACCTCCTCCAGTGCTTCTCGCCAGTGTTGCCCCGCCCCGGTCGTAGCTCCACCTTCTGTTTGTAATCCCACTTCGCTTCATCCCTCTCGTATGACGTGTTTTGAGACGTCTAAGAGCACTGCTACATCTGCCCGCCCATGTTGCCCCGCCCCGGTTGCCGCTCCACCGTCTGCTTGTAATCCCACTTCGCTAAGACAGAGTCCTGAATTAGCTTCTTCACCCTCCCCCATAGTAGGTCCACAGATGACAAACCTGCGCCATCGGATGAGGGGGCCCACATAACTACCGATATTTGCTGCTCTGGATGTTTTCAACAAAGATTTTGACTGCCTCTTCACAAACTCCCTGGCCGTTCTCTTAAACAAATTCTCTCAAGTCCCTTTTGCAATCCTGCACAGCGGCGCCCAGACCCCAGAGGTCGCTCCACATCCTCCGGCTTCACCCATCCGCGAATTAGTTTGGGCGCAACCGCAATCTCATGAAATGCGTGAACATCACCACCCCACGCACCATCAACCTATCTCTCAGACTCAATTTCGCCCACGCACCAACGCCTTCTACTCTTCCTTGCCAAGTCCACAAACATCCTTGCTGTCAAAGTCCACATCACCCATGTTGCGGTGTGTACTCCTCACTGCACTCCTTACTGCACTCCTCACTGCACTCCTCGCTGCACTCCTCACTCCACTCCTCACTGCACTCCTCACTGCCCTCCTCACTGCACTCCTCACTCCACTCCTCACCGCACTCCTCACTGCACTCCTCACTCCACTCCTCACTGCACTCCTCACTGCACTCCTCACTGCGCTCCTCACTGCACTCCTCACTGCACTCCCCACTGCACTCCTCACTGCACTCCTCACTGCACTCCTCACTGCGCTCCTGGACCATGGTACACTTCCAGCACCACGGCCCTCTCTTGAGACGTCTCAAAAGACCCCCGTTGCGGTGTGTACTCTTCACTACACTCTTCACTACACTCTTCACTACACTCTTCCTCTGGCTGTTGCCCAACAATTCTACCAGCAGCAATGCATTTGCCTGCTCTTGCAGCTATCACGTGCAGGCCTGGCAAGCCAGCTTGCCCAGTTTGTTCAACGACTTGAAGGGGAGATTGCGGAATGCTTGGTCTTCAGTACTTAAGCCTTGCTGTACCTTCGTCTCGACCCGACACTCTAAACTGGCCTACCCGAGACTCACCACCAACCGTGCCTTCAATCCAGTGGGCTACCTCATTGGTGACTGACTGACCCAACGAATCCACGCTATAGAACCAGCTTCTTATTCCATCTCAAGCTAACTGAACAATATTTTTCAATTTTCCTGAAACATTGAATGAACACTGGCTCCCTGCTGAACAATAACTTATGGCTGCCACCGCTGTCATTTGCAAAGGATTGTATTACCGTAATCACCCAGACATGACACTCGTCGAAATTGGAGCCCCCAGGTATCTTGTGCGGGGTGGGTGTTATAAGTGGTCAAGATGGTACTAGGCTTAGTAGCCTAGGGTAGAACGAGATTGATGAGAGGAGAGGGGCTTCACTATGGAGAGGGTCACAACATATAAGGTAGGAAAGAGGGTACACCACCAAGCAGGAAATCAGGATACCTACACTAACGCTAGAACTACATGCAGTTATAACAACATAATTCGGACATCCCCCCTTAACTGCATGCAGGAATAGCAAAGTGCAAAACACAACCTGCAGGGGTACACAAAGCAAAACAAAGCAGCAGCACGCAAAAGCAGTAGCAACCTGGTGCAACAGTGGTAGATACAGCTGCAGAAATCCCTTAGCCAAGACGAAAGACGAAAGGGGGGAGCATGCATGCGGTGCACGTAGCCTGGAGAGCGGCGTGCGGCGGCACAGCAGGCTCAACGGCAGCACCTGCGCCAACAGCAGCAGACGAAAGACGAAAGGTGGCGACAGGGGCTGCAGCTATAGGTGCCACGTTAGTAGTGGGCGACAGCTGTAGATGCGTGGCTGCTGTTTCCACCACTCTCTCTTACCCTCCCCCCCTACTCAGCAGCGAGAGAGAGAGGAGGAGGGGCGGTGCTGCCTCGGCAGAGTCTCTCCCGCCACCCCTTCATTGCATGTCCCCCCTTCACTTACCACCCACTCATCTCCCCCCTTCCCCCACGGCAGATGGCGCTGGAGCGCGGAGCTGGCGCTGGCGCTCGCGACCAGCGGCGAGGCAAAGGGGCAGCGCACGAAACGGGGGGGCGAAACAGCGTTGTGTGACGGGGGGGGGGGGGGGGGGGGTGGGCGACGGACGGGACGGACAGGGGGGGAGCGCGATGGACGGGACGGACGGGTGGGCGTGGGGCGACGAAACCGCGCGATGCGACGGGCAGGGCGCAGTGGGGGCGCGACGGTCAGGGGACGGGACGGGCAGCGGTGCGCCATAGGGACGGGTGGGCCCATTGATTTTTTTTTTTTTTTTTTTTTTCGAAGGTTCTAGGAAAGAACCAACTCTTATACCATGTCAAGATGGTACTAGGCTTAGTAGCCTAGGGTAGAACGAGATTGAGAGAAGAGAGGGGCTTCACTATGGAGATGATCACAACATATAGGGTAGGAAAGAGGGTACACCACCAAGCAGGAAATCAGGAAAACTACACTAACGCTAGAACTACATGCAGTTATAACAACATAATTCTGACAATAAGCGACCTCGTTTTTATTATCCCCCCCTTTTGGGGTGATTTTTTATAACACCGCACTTTTCTTACAGATTCTTTCCTATAGCTGTTTACGAGTAGGTGCAAGTACGGAAGAATATCGCGAGTATCTCTCCCTCGATGAAATTTCGTGGTACTTTCACTTCAAATCTGCCGAGATTTCCCCCCTCCCACTATTTCGCTGTCGCCATGCTTGTCAATTTTCCGCTGCTAGTGGCTATCGAATTCCAAATTAGATTCCCTTCAGTTTCAATTCACTCACACGCTGCGCGTCTAGTCAGCATATGAGTCAAGGGCGCCTCATGACTGACATTGAATGTAATTGTAGGCAAGGAGTCTTTCCCTGTCAAGTTGCGAAATATTTCACCCGTTACCCTGTGTAAATTCGGCTCGATTGAAGAGGCACAACACAATGTACATTTTTTTCTTTCTTTTTCACAATATAGAACTAGAGTAAAGCCCGGTCTATAATCCGAGGGCGGCGAAGGGGAATCTCAACTTATACTAAGCTAAACACTATCACATCAAAAGAGAACGCCCCCACTAGCACCCTGGTGTCTTCTTTGTAGCGTAACCCACAAGGCATGTACAGTATATTCATACGGAAAGCAATCCCAGCAGGACGTAATCTCGAGCACTACTAGTATGAGCGCCACTTGTCAAAACTATAACCCATGGTAACTTTCACCCAAGTTGTCTTCAATCATTTGAAGTTCGCTGTCGAGGCTGTACACGCCGACAACATCCTTCATCTCCTGCACCTGCGTATCCACCTTGACAGCCGCGCTGAGCTCCTCTTTCCCCACCCACTCCTCCCGGATGGCCTGCAGCTCGTTGGCGACATGTGCCATGCTTGGCCGGGTTGCAGTGCGCTCCGCGGTGCAGGAGAGGGCGAGCTGAGCCACACGCAGCACAGCATCTGTAGGGGCGTCCATGGTGGGGTCTTTGAGGCTTCCCATCTCCCCCAAGGAGATGCGCTCGGACGCCTGAGGGGGTGGAGCAGGTGGGGGGTGTGGAAGAAATCACAAGCAGAGTGAGGTGAGCAGACGCTACCTAACTACGGAGGTGTGGAATGAATTTCTTCGAGGCCATCGAGAAGACGCTAGCTAAGTTATTGAGTGGAAGCAGAATGGTTCTTACCCATGGAGTCCCCTGCAGGCCCTAAGAGGGCAACTAGCAAAACCGGAAGTGCGTAAGGTGGACCACAACCAAACAGTGGGCAGCGGACGGGGGTGTTCCCTTGTGCTATTGAGACGACACTATCACAGAAGAGAAGAACAGGCCGGTTTCATGGATGGGGTGCTTACCCATGTAGTGATCTGCTGACCGTCTCCATCAGTCCCTAAGAATGGTGGGCGTCCTGTGAGGATGACCAACATGAGCATTCCAAAGCTGAAAAGAAAAGCACAGCACAGAGGCACAGGATGCAGAGGGAGAGGTGGAGACAGACGCACTTTAGATGAATCTTGCCAGCTGAATGCATTGTGCCTAGGTTCATGGACTCTAGACACATAGTAAATGGAGCTCTCTTACTTATTGCCTCTGCAAATGCTTCCAAAAGGTTCCCTGCAATGATTCTAAGCGACTCCTGCGATGCTTTCCAAAAGGACTGCCGCAATGCTTTCTAAGGAGCCCCTGCAATGCTTTGGAAGGGACTACCGCAATGCTCTCCAAGGGACTCCTGCAAGCTTTCCAATAAACTCCTGCAAGCTTTCCAAAGGTCTCCATAAATACTTTCCAAGGGTCTCCTGCCTCACCTGTAGACATCACTGGCGGTGGTGGCCTTGGACGTGCGGGAGTAGGCCGGGTCCACATAGCCCGGTGTGCCCATGATGCGTGTCGTACCCACACTGGTGCCCTCCCCCAGCCTCACCAGCCCAAAGTCTGCAATCTTTGCCTGGTCATTGTGATGAGAGTTGTTGTAGCATGAAAGATAAGTAACAGAGAGCACGATGAAAATCATATAGGTGCAAGTGTGTACAGGACTCGGACACATATTAGCATAGCTTGACTGAAATCTTATCAAATTTGCGTCCACTATAAGGAAGCAACTCTGACACCAAAAGCTTGGCTAAATGCTATCGGTGATTGCCTCCACCAAAAGGAAATCAGCCTGATCTAAATGTGTTCAAGTCGCCTTAGGTAAGTGTTCGTTTGGGTTCGCGACAAACACGTTTGCATTTGCCTTTTGCTCATGTCTACTCTGCTGTGTCTTCATGATCTGGTCATGTGATCATTAGCTAGTTTATCCAGACTCAAATGTAGGGGCAAATAAATGCATAGCCCAGTCGCCAACATTTTCCATGGTGTGTGCACCCACCATGGAAATCAAATTGCCATCAAAACAATCCACCGCAACCAAGCTTGCCTGCATGTTTTCGGTGATGAGGACATTGGCAGGCTTGATGTCGCGATGCACGATGTCAAAGCTGTGGAGGTACTCGAAGCCCCGTGCCATGCCGATGAGAATGTCCAGCCGCTGCTTCAGAGTCAGAGGGCGTTTGGCATCTGCAAGGAGTCAGTGCCAGAGGATGAGTGGAAGGGCATGGGTGGCAGATGATAAGTGCCAGAAGATAAGTGGCAGAAGAGGAGTGGTGTTCTGCCTCTGCAATGAATAAGTGGCAGACAAGGATTGGCAGAGATGAGTGGCATCAGATGAATGGCAGATCAAGAGTGGCCGAGGGCAGGCTACATCTCAGGGATGAATGGTACAGCATGTGTTTGGCACAGCGTAAGACTGGCAAGCTGCTTCAGAGTCGAGGTCACGCTACACAATACGAGTGACACAGCAAATGAGTGGCACAGCAAATGAATGGCACAGCATATGGTTGGCACAGCATGAGTGGCAGAGCATACGAGTGGCACAGTGGCAGAGCATGAGTGGTAGAGCATGAATATCAAAGATAACATTGGAGAGGCACACATACTTCGACCGATCCATTTGTTAAGATCGCCATTGGGCACGTATTCATAGATGAGAACTTGCTCTGGCTGTGTCCTCAAGTCTCCGCCGACCGCAAAGCCAAGGAGCTTCACAATGTTGGGATGGTTCTTGTCGGCCATCTGCTGGATCTGATCCTCACAGCCAGAAAGAATGAGTGCAATGGAGAGAAGGAGGAAAGGGTACGCCTGAGCAAAACTTCAACGTCTGAAAACATGTGAACAATGTTGGGGTGGTTCTTGTCGGCCATCTGCTGGATCTGATCCACACAGCCAGAAAGAAAGGGCGAAAAGCAAAGAAAACAGATTGCAACGGAGAGCTCCGAACAAATAGCCGAACAACCTCGACAAATTGAGGAACTGGCTTGCAATTTCATGCATGAAAAGGCTTGTGAGAAAAGGCTTTGTGTGCGCCACCATGGCTCACTGACCTCCTTCTGGCCCACGTTTATCAGCCTGGCTCGCTTCACAGCCCACAAGGTGACTTTTGAGTCGACTCAAAAGTCAGCTGAGAAAAGGCATCGTATGCCCTAGGGATGAGCAAAATCCCGAACGCCTGTTCGGTTCGCCTCGAACATGTTCGAGGCGAACCGAACAGGCCTTTTTTTTTGCCTAAAATGTTCGGGCCGAACATGTTCGGTGTTCGGCCGAACATGTTCGCCGTTCGCCCCCGAGTCGCGTAGCCCCCAAGCCGAACACGAACATGTCCGCGTTCGACTTGGGGGCTACGCGAAAACCAAAATAGTTCGCGTCAAAATTGGCCGCGACCAAATTTAGGTCGCGGCCAATTTGAGTTTGAGCTCATTTCGTGAGCTCAAACTCAAAACCCGTTCTCACCTTAGCCCTCTCACACACAGCTGCCCTAGCCTTTCGTTTTAGGTAACAGTGCACGCCGTAACTTCCAATCTACACGGAAATTAGATCTAGGACTAGGGTTTACAGTAGTGAAGCGTGTTTAGGGTTACTTGGGGCATTCAGTGGCATCATAGCATAGGGATCAAGTAGGGCGTTCGCTACGCCGAAGGGTTCTAATCGGGCATTTCAGAAACTTTACCGTGCTGGAAAACGCTTAGGAACGTGCGGCACGAGGGACGGTACCATAGGATCTTCGAGGGTTTAGGGTTTTAGGGTCGCGGGCGGAGTGATGGCTTCCAGCCGTGGTGGATCCATAGGCCGAGGTGCAGGCAGGGCTCAGGGCAGCGCACCAGGTTCTCCACCACGACCTATGGAGGGGCGAGTAGGGGATGGACCTGGAGGAGCCGGCGCGTGCTTCGTTGGGGGGTTGCTTACCGTACCGGCGCCGAGCTCTCGTCGCTCTTTCCGTTACGATGACGCTCGGCCCCCTCCTGCAGGGCAGACGCAGACGGAGAGTGGCAGTGAGGAGGAGGATGAGGAGGAGGATGGCGAGGGTGAGAACGAAGAGGACAATGAGGGAAGCGGGGATGACAGTGAGGCCGATTGGGACCCAAAGATGCATGGCGGTGGGGAGGGGGGAGATGATGATGATGAAGACCACGAGATGGATGGGTTGGAGCCAGAGGGGCGGGAGGAGGAGGTGGGAGAGGGTGGTGGAAGGGCGGCGACAGAGGCGGGATCACAGCATGTGCGTGAAGGGGGAGGGAGCGTGGGGGTTAAGGTGGGGGGGAGAAAGGCCGCTATCATTCGGGAGCCGAGGCTAAGGAAGAGGGCGAACAAGTTGAGGGAGCTGGCTTATCCCTGCACGTTCACTGGGGAACCCTTGGGCGAGGGCGTGATCGCTCCGGAGTTCCTAGACGACGACGGTGGGTCCGAGAGTTGTAAGGGGACTGGCAAGGGGGGTAATAGGAAGCTGGGGTGGCAAGTAATGATGTTCGGACCGTTAGGGGCAGACGAGAAGCGACAGTGCAAGATTTGCGTAGACAAGATTTCGTGGAAGCAATCCACAACAACACCCGGCGAGCGGCATTTCGCGAGCTACCACACTGCGCACATGCAGGTGTGGCATCACCGTTACCACAACCCGTCCGTTCAGTTGCCAGGGGAGACGTTTCCCCGTGGGGGCTACAAGGGAGTGCCGGATGGCCACATGCCAAGACTTGGCCGCATCTCGCCAAGGAGAAAGGGAAGGCGTCTGGTGGAGGAGGTCAGGGGTCAGGCGGGATCGAGCGGTTCATGACAACCAAACTGACCTCGGTGCAGCTACGGCAGGCGATCACGAAGCTGGTGGTCACCTGTGACCTCCCCTTCCGCATCGTCGAGGCCGAGGCTGTGAGTGCCCTATCCCATCCCATCCCATGCTTGATTGGGCATTATGTGGTGGATAGTGGTCGGGTATGGCCCGTTGTGTTTTGATTATTACCGTGTGGCCCAGTGCCATGTTATGTCTAACCCATCCCCCCGACGTTTACTCCCCTCACCCTCGTTGTCTCTACCCCTCTCCAGTTTCGGGAGCTTTTGATCCTGCTAAACCGCAACTGCGCGCAGAAGAACTTCATCCCCTCGCGCTGGACGGTTTCCCGCGACACTGTGGTCTATGCGGCTCTTCAGTCAGCCATTGCGGAGATGCTGGCGAAGGAGGGGGAGCTGGGGTGCAGGGTGTCGTACACCATCGACATGTGGACGGCGCCCAACAACAGGGCGTGGCTGGTGGTAACTGGTCACTGGGTAGACGAGAACTTCCAGCTGCGCACAATGGTGTTTGAGTTCCGCGAGATTCACGGGAGGCACACGGGCAAGCAGATGGCGAGGGTGGTTGAGGAGACGGTGGTGCAGTGGGGGTTGGAGACGCGTTGTCTTGGTTTCACCTCAGACAACGCCTCTAGCAACACTGCCGCTTTCAACGCTTCTTCAACTCGCGCATGCACTTTCGGTAAGAAAGGGAGTGTGCGTGGGATGGTGGTTGAGGGAGTGCAGGTGCGTGCGTCATTGTTGTATGAACAAACAACTTGTGGTTGTACGGGCGTGTGGGCCAGTGCGGTTTGAGTGGTAGGGTGTGTCGGGTCTATGCCAATATGTACTGACACTCCCCTTTCTCTCCGCCATCAATGTTGTGTGATGTGCGCAGGTGCTTGGCACACGTGATCAACCTTGCTGTGAAGGCCGCCCTCGCAGTGAGCACCATCCGCAAGTTGTTGAAGATTCTGAGGGAGATGGCGTCGTGGATAGGCTTCTCGCCGCAGCGCTCTGGGAAGTTCTTGGGCCTTCAGCGGACCCTGAACGCGCAGGCCAACCCCGCCAAACCGAAGCCGGCATTGAAGCTGGTGCAGGACAGCCCAACGCGCTGGGGGTCGACCCACGACATGGTCGAGCGAGCTGGGGTTCTGCAGGAACCCATCTCTGTCTTCTTTGCCCAGACACAGGTGAGAGGGTGTGTGACAGGTGTTGTGTATGCGGTTTAATGTGTGGGTATGTCGGGGTGTTTTGTTCTAGCACTTGCACCACTGCTGGCCATGCTTGACCAAACATGTTCGAACCCTAAACCTCAACCTAAACGCTAGTTTCCATCTTAACACCCGCCAACCCATACCCTCTACCCGACAGGGCTTGTCGAAGGCTGACAGGGCGAAGGTGGAGACCTTGCGCTTGACGGACGCAGACTGGGAGACTCTGCATGCTGTCAAGACGTTCCTCAGCCCATTCGCCAAAGTGTCAAAGGCGGCGGAGGGAGCGGCGTACCCCACAGTGTCGATGGTGCTGCCGTACTACAACGGCCTGATCGACGCTATGGAGTCGCGCCTAGCCAAGGGGCCATCGGCTACGCTGAAGCCGATGATTGAGGCGGCGCTGGGTCTCTTGAAGAAGTATGAACTGATGTCCAGCAACGAGTTGTGGATCGCGACCTTCCTGGACCCTTCCATGAAGGCGGCGTGGTTCGACGACCCGCATTGGGAGACGCTGCATCCCGAGACCGACCGGAGGGCGAGGCCTCGTCCCTCGTCAGGCGAGGTGATCCAGCTGGTACGCGACCGCGTGACCGAGTACCAGGCCCGGGCTGCAGCGCTTGCACCTCGGCCGACCCCACTTGCCCCAGTGACGGAGGAGGAGGAGGGGGAGGCGGCGGACGACGACGAAGACGCGCAGTTTCTCCCTAGTCGCCGAAGACTTGCGGCGCGTCTGTCAGCGAGCCAGGAGGCGGGGAGGGGTGGGATGGTGCAGGATGACGAGGTTAGCAGGTACTTATCTGAGAGGGTGCGGTGCGACGTGTCAGCGTTGGAGTATTGGCGCAACGCCACCAACATGCAGACGCTGAGGCGCATGGCCCGGGATTATCTCGCCATCCCTGCCACGTCCGCGTCGAGCGAGCGCGTGTTCTCCCTCGGCCGCAACCTCATTTCCTGGAAGCGGCACCGCCTAGCCTCTCAGAGGACGCGAGCTGTCATGATTCTCAGATCATGGTACAGCTCACACCCCGGACAGAGGATAGGCGAGGGCCGCCGTGCTAAAGGCGTCGCACCACCAGAGTTCGCCATTGAAGGCGAGGGGGAGGAGGAGGAAACGAGGAGGAGGAGGAGGGGGAGGAGGAGGGGGCGGAGGAGCATGAGGGGGTGGGTGCTGGCGACGCCACTGATGCGGAGGAGCATGGTGTTGTTGGTAGTAGCAGTGGAATTCAGGCGTAGGATTTCATTTGACAGTGACTTATATATACTCAGAACATGATGGTGTCGTATGCTTGTGTGCGTTGCATGAACACAGATACACCCTCCACACCCCTATCCCTCTTCCCGACCCTCCAGATCCCCTGTTTGACCACTGTGACTATAACGAAATTGCCCCAGGGTGAACTCGAACATGTTCGTTTCGAACATGTTCGAGTTCGCCCACGGACCCTAAATGTTCGCCCCCTTGGGCGAACGGCGAACACCACCTGTAAGGTAAATAGTTCGCCGAACCGAACCCTGTTCGGTTCGGAAAATGCATATGTTCGAGAGGGGGCGAACCCGAACGTGTTCGGGTTCGCCCTTTGCTCATCCCTAGTATGCCCCACCATGGCTGACTGACCTCCTTCTGAAAGCCCACGTTTATCAGCCTGGCTCGCTTGACAGCCCACAAGGTGGCGCCATCGCGGGGAGAGACGCCCTTGTACACATCGCCAAAGGCACTCGAGCCCAGCTCGTTGTCAGGGGACCAGTCATTGGTGGCCTTGAGAACCTCTGCTAGTGAGAATTCTGTGCAGTGCGAGGCTGCCAGGCTGCTGGCCGGACCTGCTTGTAGTGTCAGAGGTGAAAGGAGGCGCGTGGGTGCAGGGAAGCATGCTTGAGCACGATTTGATCAAGTCACAAGTCGAGTTGAGTCGGCTAGACATAATACACAATAAGCGAGGAAAGGGATGGTTCCAAATAATGCTGCAACAAATGACGCTACTAGATTCCTCCCCCCACAAAACAAGGAAACTTCATTTTTACGGTTTGCAAAATAGATACAAAATATATACACAGAAACATCGATTTATATCGATGTAATGTAGGTGCTCTATTTAAAACAATAAAACGATTATCAACCACTGCTTAGAGTACTTTCCATACAAATGGTTGCTTATTTTGAATCATACTCTTTGCTGAGTAGAGTCAAGTCAGACGTGACACTTGCCCCAACATGCTTTGTGAATCGGAGTTGAGTCCAAGCGTGTATGTCATTTTACGGGTCATGAAACTGATGACCCAATATGTACTCGGGGGCTATACAGAGTAAGTGCTGAGAGGCTCTAAGATTTTCACAGCTCCAAAACTCGACATCTTAAAACCATCTGTTACCTCAACACCTTGCCGCACTTTATTTCTTAAAATGTGTAGCCCGTCTTAACGTCCCTTAGGGTACATCCACCATTAAGAAAGGCAAACAGAATGTAAGCTTGTGAATGAAGCAGATTTGTGCACCAAGTCACGCGCTTGTGGCGAGTCAAAGTCACCCATTTCAAGCCAAGAAGCTGGTCATGACTGGGCTTGCACACTGGCATGCTCATGTCACGTTTCATGCAGTGAAAACCTTGCTCCTCACGTATCCTTATGTGATTGCAAACAGCCGCACACAAATTCATCGACAGAATGCAGCCGTACCTTTTCTGGAGTGTACTTTTTATTGCGTTGTTTCCGTACCTTTTGGCTTTGGCTGTATCTTGTGCCTGAAGTAAACCAGAGTGGCGACAAGAAGCAGGAGAAGGACCACAGCAGCAACAACGATGCCAATGATGACTCCCACTGACACTCCACCTCCACCTCCTGCTGAAGAAGACTCGCTGCTGCTGCTGCTGGTGCTGCTGCCGCTGCTGCTGCTGCTGCCGCCGCTGCTGATTTCTGCAAATGGCATGAGCATAGATCCACATGCGCGGGATTTCTGCAAGCTGATCACTAGAGTTAGCACATGAGGGGTACTTTTTTAGAGCATGCCTTGCGCCGCGCGATGCCATGCATTCCCATGTGTTGCCATGAATTCCCATCTGCCATGCGTCGCTTTTTGTACCAAATTTTGATTCCTAGATCAAATTTCTCTGGAACAACAATCGCAACAAATCAAGACGCCGTGTCTCGTTGCACAAGATGCGCAACAGCCATCAAGACGCCATGCCTCATCTCGTGCCATGCCATGCATTCCCATGTGCTGTGCTGCCTGGATCCCCATTTGTTGCCATGCATCGCTTGCTATACCAAAATCTGTTTGCAAGCTCATGTATCTCGGGAACAACAGTCTTAACCCCAAAACGCATAACGCCATGCATCACGTCATACTCTCATTGCGTTCCACTCTAAAATCATACTTAGCTGGTGTTTTTTTACTCGCCTGAAGATTGGTTGGTGCAAGTATTGCAGAAGGGTTTACACATGCGGCAAAAGGATGTCGTAGGAGATTGTGTTACGCCACATGTAGAGTTGTCAGGTGGGCATGTGAGGCTGGTGCCAGAGATGTTGCTGCAGTGGAAAAGGGGAGATGAAAAGGCGGAAATCGTGGGCACAGCTGCGCAGACATTCATTAAAGTTCAGCCGGAATATTGGTTAATTAGTCATGAAGGTGGGAACGGTATGGGGATGGTGACTAGGAGGGGCATGGAGACATTGCCAGAACCACGGCATTTGATAAGCCTCTCTTTGATAAGCCTCTCTTACACTGCTTCCCAGTTCATTTCGGATCCGGTACTTGCTCAAGCCTTTTGAAAAGTTTCAGGTCCGATTTGGGTTCAGTTCTTGCTGAAGGTACTCGCAAGTTACAAGTTTGGTTGGGTCTGGTACTTGCTCAAGCCTACTCACAAGTACTTCAATCTTGTTAGGCCTCCAATCTCAGCTGGAATCTCCCCGTTGAGGTTATTATCAAAGAGGTTTCTGGTCACATGAATTGGACGGAAAGTGTGGGAGTAAGCCCTGCTAGCCTCGTGCACGCAGCAATGCAGCAACATGCATCCTCCCATCCATTTAAAGGCATGCATACACCCATCCACATGAAGGCATGCATCCTCCCATCCACATGAAGGCATGCATCCATCCGTTCAGTGCTGCATGCATGAGATGGGGGAACCTGGCAGTTCCAATGTGTGCATCCATCCCGAGAGAATATAGATGGCATGCTGGTACAAAGGGATGGGGGAAATACTTCAAGAGAAAATACTCACGGCAGCAACTAAAAGGTGCAGTGCAGTGCACCATTGAAATTGGCACAGAACATCCCAACATGATCTGGAATCGCAACTGAGATGATAAGACTGTGGAATGTCAGACAGCGATTATGAAAGTGAGTTGATGCGCGAGTGCAGTGCAGGCTTGGCACATGAGAGGGCAATGCAGCCTTGGGCTGGCACATAAAACAATGATTTTAGCGAGCCTCGTACAGGTAGGTGAGGCCATCAAGGAAGGCGAAGTTGGTGAACATGGGGCCACTCAGGGAATTGGATGAGAGATCCCTGTGTGCATTGTGTGTTGTGGGTTGGAAAAAATGTAAAATTGCAAATAGCAGGCATGGCAGGCAAGTCGGGAAGCACATGCAAGCGGCCCAAGGGAGTGTGAGGTTCGAGATCCCAACAGGTGGGAAGACTTGTTGGGAGCATAGAGAAGAAAGAGCAGCAGTGGACTGGATTGTACATGAAAGCAAGGGGGATGGAGGGGTGATGAAAGGGGGATGGAAATAGCTGCGGAATAGTGGGGCTATGTGGAGGGAGCATGGTGGCTGAGAGGAGAATAGGTATGGGAAGGGGCAGCAGGATGGATGGCCGAACACCACACAAGGCAAGTGGAAGATGATGAAACAAATGTGGCAATTGAAAGGAAAAATCCCAACACGAAATAATTTCAGTGAAATAGAACACCCCAGGGTCCTGGTTGAAGGCAATTGGCATGAGTGCTGCTCCAGAGCGAGGCACGAGTTTTGAGATTGTACGACGCAGTGACATACTTGAAGAGCAGCTGCTTATTCGGTTCTCCTAGTGCTGTCAACAAGCCAATGGTAGCTGGGATAGCCTGGTACTGGAGTCATGAATCATGATACTTACAAGTTCACCAAATTGATCAAGCGGCTGAGAGTGGATGGAATAGATCCAACCAAGCGATTCCTTTCTATACACCTGGTAGACATGAAAAGTAGCCCATGCAAGACGAAGGAGAGGGAGAGAGCTCACGGACAGGAAAAGAGCATGACAACCCTAAGGCTGGCTGGTCATTTCCTTCAGTAAAGTTCCTATCAATGCTCTAACTGAATAGAAGCAATCATCGATCACATCAGAGTTTACAGAGAATGTTTAGGTTTATACAAGGTTCCACGTACAGATTAGCAAGCTGCACGAGCACAGAGATGCCGTTGGGAATGGAGCCGGTCAAGTTGTTGTTTGTAAGAGACCTGTGTGTGAGTGGTTTGGGTTGGTGAATGAAATGAGGAGATGAGAATATTGGGCATGGACTGAGGGACAGCACACACACACACCATCGATCCAACCAGAGTATGAGACCTGGGATGTACTGTTGCAGGTTTTCGGGTTTATAAGACGTTTGCTCATGTTCGTGCATAAACGAGGTGCTTCATACAGCCAAGTGAGCTGAGAAAGGTCGGAGATCCTGTCGGGAATGGAGCCCCTCAAATTGTTGTTTGAAAGAGACCTGTGTGTGTTTGGTGTGGGTTGGGGTGGAAGAAGTGAGGACATGAGGATGATGGGCATGCAGTGAGGTAGACATGAGCAAATTCTAAATCGCTTGTTCGGTTCCTTACCCAAACAACATATTAAACCTGAACACATCCGTAAAGTATCAACAACGCATCTTGTACAGCCATACCATATACAGATAATTTTTGACTGAATATGAAACGTGCACATACACATTTTGTGATGTGTGTAGATCTGCATACTTATACTTGATCCAAATCCTCCAGTATTCGTCATTCATATCAGAATTCGCATAATATTAAAAAAAAACACTTTTCGTAGTGGTTTCGGTATTCGCCTTTACAGGCTAAGGTACAGTCCGGTCGACCTGATCCCGTGAAGACACCCAACCCAGGCTTATAGGGCCAGGCCACCTGTGACATGAGAGCTACCAGTGACATGAGAGCGGGACTAGTCGACCCGATGGTAACTCGGTTCGAGCAGATCCTAAGGCTGGTAAAATGCACAACGGAACATAGAAAGTGCCGATCCATATGCCTG